ATTTATATACCCACTGCCTCTTTTTGTCCCCCCCCGCCCTTCCCTATTTAATTTTGGTTCTGGACATCCAATAGTAGGAGGTTTGGCACATTGAAGGGGCTCCCCCAAAAGACTGATCCAAGGTGGGAAGTAGCCCTGATCCTGTGGACATGTGACAGAATGAAACCAAGAAACTTCCATAAAAATTATTCTTAAAACTGGTATTTTATAGGTTGGCTTAAAAAAATCTGTAGAAAGTGTAAATTCTTCATTTATTTCTCTAAGGTTTTTCCATAATGGATATTATTTGTCTTATGAATCTATGCTGAAGTAAAGTATATTTGGCTGTCATTTTAGCTCAATGAGATTATTTTTGCCTGTATTGTATAACCAGCATTGGGTGGGTGGACGTCTCAGGCTTAGTTTAGGAGCCTCTATAGCTTGAGCTATAAAGCTAGCTAGCTCTCAGCTTAGGCTGTAGATCTCCCTTGTTCTTATCTCTGGCTGTTAGTGGTTTAAGTGTCACTATATGGGACAGTGAACTATATTAGGGCTATGTCTACACTACACTCTCAAAGAAGCATGGGATTATTTTGAATTTGCATAAAATCTTTAGCATCTCATTGATTGGCCTCACGAGTCTGAGTGGCTTAAAGAGATTTTATGTAACATGTTCCTCAGTGTTGAAGACAAACTCGTCTCTAAGATATGTAACGGATATCTGAAACTAGGGAAGAGAGAAATCTAGTGTATTTCAAGTTGCAAAAATATATTTCTATTTGTAGTGTAACCCCCCTTTTTCCTCCGCAGGTTACTCGGGAGCAGGTCACACTCACAAGTGTGCCTGGGCGCCTGATGGTTTTAACATAAAAGGAGATCCTGAGTACCCCAGTGGTGATGATGTTTAGTTGGGGAAACCCTATCCACCCCCTTGCTGCTGTCCCTTGCTCATAAAGAACATATAATGGCGGTGCCTCCACCTGGCTGGCACTCTAACACACTTACTGGTGTGCTCCAGGAATAAACGTATTCCAACAATAAACTGGATCTAACTCCAGAACAACAATTACAAATCATAAATAATATACATCTAATAGATTGCATTAGAATGAACAACCTTTACTTAACTTAAAGAAACAGGATTTAACAAATTAACAGTGAATAACATCAATTAACAAAGTACACAGAAGTAAAAGGAACGTATCTAGCTGCCATTTGCACTGCCAATATTTATCCCACCCCAGAGTGTGCACACCCCTGGACTCGGAGTCCCAGACTCTTGCTTGCATGGGCGCGCTTGAAGAACTGCAGCAGTAATGGAGATTCTCTGTAGATAGGGTGTATGTGGGTCCAAGCTATGCAGCAGCTCTGGTTCACTGGGTTGGCCTCTCTGCCTCTCTTTGAACTTAGAATTAGTCTGTATCTCTGAGGTCTGTCCCAGGCAGCATTTTCCAAAGATGCCCAGTTACTCACAGTCTCCTTCTGTGTGCTGGGTGCAGAGTAGCTTCTAGCCACAAGTACAGCCAAAGAGCCTCCCCTCTAGGGCAATCAGAAGCAGCCTGCGAGATCCCAGTCTCAAAGGCTCGCTGTCTCAGTCTGTAACGGCAACGTAACAGCTCCTGAACTGGATCAAACTCCTCCACAGCAGCCTGGTTCCCTTTCTGCTCCAAAAACAGAGGGACGAGTCCACAGACTGCTGAGTCTTCCTCCACACATGTGGAGAGACTCAGATCTCCCAAACAGGAGTCACTTCCTTCCTGTTTTTCCCCAGGCCTCATGGGAATTGTAGTCTGTGAGGCTAGATTGCAGCACACAGGGTCTTCCCAGAAAATAAGCAGAAGCACCTTTAGTAAGGGGACTACCATAGCTACATCTGTAATTGAGTTTCTCAAAGTAAGAATCATTAGTCATTTCAAATCATAACCATTAGCTTAGACAATTTATATGAAGTTCAGTGCATTATTATGTATTTCTTAGCAGCTGTATAAATTGATTGGAATAACAGCCATGTGATTTATTAATGTCTGAAATGAGAAAAGAATCCAGTTGCTCATTTGGATGGGGAAATGCAGTGATAAAGTATTGCTAATCAAGAGCTTGACTGTTTCCCACAGTGTTTCTACATCTTGGCTGTATAGGCTTGCGTCAGTTGGTGGATTTAGAGTCTTTATAGTTGAGGCTGTGTAAGGATGCTTCTGTTGATTACTGCTTAGATGGAAGGTGTATGAATAGTCTGTAGAGTCATATGTTTAGAGAATTTAAAAATGGATCAGTGACTCTTAAGTAATTGGATCCTCCATTGCAGCCATTTCATTTATGGAATTTTTCTCTGGGAAACCATTAACAGTGACCGAGTGTGTAAAAATTCCAGGAAGATGTAAGCATAATGGCAAGAATAAGGAGGAAAGAACAGAAATGCTCAAGGAATACTAAAGATCCTACATCTGTGGAAGAAGTAAAAGGGAAGGAGACGTAACAAAGAACATTTCTTGTACAAGTTGCACCTTTATAAACTAGAACTCTCTGGTCCGGCAACATTCGTGGTCCAGCAGGATCCTATAGCTATTTTTGTATGATACATTTCTTAGGGAACAACATGTTTTACTGAAATCCCTATGACTTTCTGATGTAGAAAACATTACCTTCATCCAGCTCCTTTGACAAATCCTCTGAAGGGAGAAGCTTTTTATTTTTTCCTGTATAGGCGGAAAAAAAAATCATGATCTTGAACTAGGATCAGCAAAAATAGCGTCAGCCCTTTGCATTTTTGTTTGTTAGCACTAATAGTTTTTCAGATTAGAAATTAGAACATGTATTTTCTGATCTGAGACAGACCTGTCCTGTTTAGCCATGGTGGAATTTTTTGGTGTTCTTGCTGTTTTTATTTATTTATTTTTTAATTTGGGGTACACATTTCATTTGATGTTGTTTTTAAGAAGTTTCCATGCGTACATTTCACTCTTGGTTCCTTTTTATTTCCAGTTAACTTCCTCCTTTTTGTGTAGGTATCTTTGGCATTTTGCCCCTTATACGGATATTAAATTTAATAATATTATGATTTGTATTCCTTAGTAGTTCAACTTTATTAATCTCTTGCACTAGATCCTGGTCCCAGCATCTTCATTGTGCAACCAGCTTAACTGTAGTCTGTTTTACTTTTAATTTAGTATGGATGAATCTGGCTTTGTGGCACCTTGTCTGTTCCATTCCTGAGCTTCTGCCCAGCTCAGTCAATGTGTTGTAATACTGAGCGATCTGTAACATCTCTGCTATTCCATTTCTAAGTTTTAACCAAACTCAGATTACAAATTATTTGGCACATGTGTGATAGGAACTAGATTATTTCAATTATTATCCAATTATTTCCTTGTCAGTTGATATTTTATTAGCTGTATGATGCCTAATATATCTCAAGGAGCAAATCAAGACTCCTTCTACTCCATTTCTGAAAGGTATGTGCTCATTAGAAAGCTTGTTTGTGGTTTTATTTCACTGGTTGCTTGATCTGTAAATACACGACAGTATTTAGTCGTTTGTGAAACTGGGATGATACTCGGATCAGCAGGACCAGATGCCTTTTCTTTGCTATTCTATGAAAAATGTTCTACAGGTTGGACCTCCCTAGTTTGGCACCCTCAGAACCTGACCGGTCCTAGCTGGGGGATTTTGCTGGATCAAGGGAGATCCTATCTGGCCACCCTGCTGCTGCCTCCCCCCAGCCTCTGCCATGCTGGACTCCTGGTCCCACTGGGGGGTGTGTGCTGGGTCCTGCCGCCACGTGCCGGGCCCCCAGCCTTGCCACGTAGCCCAACTGTGGTGAGTGGGGCTCCTGGCCCCACTGGCAGCTTGATGCCAGCAACCCATTGCCCTGCTAGCCTACAGGGCTCCCAGTTGTCAGCCCTCCACCGGGACTCCACGGATGTTGCCAGACCAGAAAGTCCTGGTTTAGAGAGGTTCCACCTGTACTTCATGTCTCAATCATGATATTGGTGCCTGCATAGTATCTTGTTCTTTCCCTGAATCACAGATGTTTTGTGCTTTAAATTTCATAGAGAAAGTGAAGGTTGGTTGCTGTGTAAATTTAGATGACAGTGCTATAAATATACCTGCTATGGGGGAATTAAGGGTTCATTCAAATGATCTTGCATAGAATGATGCCTGGTGTGCTTATTAGACAGCCACAAATAGGACTACAACTTCTTTCTGCCCACATGGCAGCTGCTTCCTTACCCAGTAGTGTCACGAGATATTTGAAATGGGAGCTGTAGTAAGTTAAAAACATATTGACTGGCTTTCATTTTTGCTGAAATAATTGTGGGAGTGTTTTAGCACTTTTAGATGTCACATTTTGATTTCTAAGGTCAGTCCAGAACCTACATGTGCCAAATCTACACTTCGATTTATTTGTGAGCACTTGTTGGAGGCCACTAGTCAAAATGAGGCCATTGTTTATTAGCACGACTTGTATTAAACATTCTAATACTAATTCTTTGCTACTAAAAATGTCCAATATCAGCATATGATGCCACAACATCAGGCACAAATAGCTGACATCACAAAGCCCATGGGAAAAGTGGTCACTTGTTCATTTTAGAACCTTTCTGTTAGATCCCAACAAGTATAGGTGAGCAACTGAGAGGCCATGGTATATAATAAAAGATGGGAAGTAAAGTCTTTACTGATCTGACTGAGTAGAGCTGGCTGTTCATGAGTATTCAATATTGAGCTGATTTACTCTAAACACAATGTTTCATTCTTCAAAGGCAGAGCTTTAAAAATGGGGGAAGAGTAAAAGTCTGATTTTCTTAGCAAGAACGTGAATTGTGTTCAAACTGGTAGGATACATATTTAATATCTAATCCAGTTATCTTTCCATTTACTCAAATGGGCTTTGGATACGGTTTTTATTCTCTTCCAAGCTAAACATTCAGGACAGATTAGACTAACGTACACCTGGCTTTTGACACTTTTACATTTTCAAATCAGCCATTATTAATAGATTTTGTTCCATTTCTTTGTAGGTATCGTCTTGGTAGCCATAAATCCTTATGAACAACTGCCTATCTATGGCGAAGATATCATCAATGCATACAGTGGTCAGAATATGGGGGATATGGATCCACACATATTTGCTGTGGCTGAAGAAGCCTACAAACAGATGGCCAGGTTTGTGAAAAAACAGCCTTTGAAATGTTGTGTTTTCCATAGGAATGAGGCCTTAAGTTCCTAGTCAGTGGATTTGACTCTGCTTTTATTTCCATTTAATAGAAGGTGTGAACAAGTCTCTCTTTGCTCCACTTTTCTAATTAAATTTCAAAACCTAATAAACCAATGAAATTAGTAAACAGAAAAAGTGTGTCGCTTACAGACCAGTACTCATTTGATAGCAAATGGGAAGGATCAGGGTTCCCTTTAAGCTGTGCAATGGTGCCCAAAAGGCTTAGGACCACCCATGTCGCCTGCAGAACAATGCAACAGCACTCCCACCATTCGCTTTTCTGCTGGACTGAAGGCGAGTTGTGGTGGTGGCCTGATGCATTCTGACAAGGCCGTGTGGCAGAGGGTGGCTACCCTGCCCCTGTTTGCTCCAGCTGGAGCCAGGGTATGGTAAGGTTGTCCCTGCAAGGCAGCCTCGCTGGCCCTGGTTCCAGCTACTGCGGCTACAGCCCAGCCGGGGCTAGAGATGTGTGGTGGGCAGTGGCTGCTCTGGTGGCTGGGGCCAGAGCCACATGGCAGGCAGCACAGCTGCTCTGGTGGCTGGGGCTGGAGCGGCCACATAGCCCTCATACCTCTCCCCCTGTACCTCGGCTATAACACCAGCCAGGTGGGCAGCCGCCAGCCCTTACCCCCTTACCACAGGAGCTGATGGCTGGAAATGCTGGGCAGTGCAGCCCCAGCCCTTCCTCCCAAAAGAGTTGCCAGCTGACCAGGGGTTGGTGAGTCCAGCTCCGTTCCCCCGCCCCAGCGTGCAGCTTTCTGGGGGGCCAGGCAGCCCAGTCCTGGGCCCACCTCCTGCAAGGAACCACCAGAGGAATGGGCAGCCCAACTCAAGCCTCCTGCTAGCAAGGAGCTGCCACCTCCCCGACTTCTCAGCCCCCCATCCTGAGCTCTTCCTATAGTGAATCCTGCACCCCCTGGCCTGAGCATCCCCATACCTCCCACCCTCTGCCCTGATTCCTGCGCCTTGTTAATTATCCCTTCATTTAGTATTTTTTCTTGTATAATAATTTAAATTTACACATACGTGCACACACACAATTTTGTTAGTACAGTAAAACTCCATTAGTCCGGCATCCAATGCTCCGGGACTCCTGATGGTCCAGCACCATCAGGAACCCGGAAGTGCTGGGGCAGCCGGACAGGCTTCCCCCATTCCCTGCCTGCCCCTTGCACGCTGCTGAGAAAAGCTGCTTCTGGGCTCTGTTTGAACAGCTGTGAGCTCTGGGGAGTGAGAAGAGGCTTCACATGCTGCTCCTGCCTCCAGCACAATCCCATTGGTTTCCAGCCAATAGGAGCTGCCTGTTATCAACAGGCAGCTTGTGAAACATCCTGCTCCTCTCCCCTCAGGCTCATAGCTGTTCAAAAACCACATGGCCCCTGCAGTCAGTGGGGGAGTGAGGCAGGCAGGGAATCTGTTTGAGAAGGTTGCTGGCTGGGAGTCAAACAGGTAAGTCTCCCAGCCACAGCCTGCCTCTGGCACCCCAACCCTTTGCCCTCCTACCCTACATAACCCAACACTCTGCCCCCCCCTTCTGCACCATTTCCCCCTCACAGATCTTGCACCCCAATCCTCTTCCCCAGGTCACAACTCAAACCCCTGCATCCTCTTCTGCACCCTAGTCCCCTGCCCCAGGTCATAACCTCCTCTTGCCCAAGGTCACAACCGAAATCTCCCCTGCTTCATCCCAACTCCCTCCCAGACTCCAGTAACCCTCCTGCACCCCTTGCCCTTACCCCAAGCTCCCTTCTGCACCCAACCTACATTCCAGATCCCACATCTCCTCCATTAATATCATGGAAGAGTGTGGTCCTCGAACACTTTTCAAAATCTTGGAGTGGTCCCCCATGAAAAATTATTGCCCACCTCTGATCTAGTCTGACATTCTTCACATTGCAGGCCATTGAACCTCACCCACCCATTTCTGCAATAGACCCTTAACCTGGGCTGAGTTACTGAAGTCTTCAAATCATGATTTAAATACTTCAGATTACAGAGACTCCACCTTTTACACTGTTAGTTTAAACCTGCAAGTGGCCCACCACCCGTGCTGCACAGGAAGGAAAAACATTCCTATTAACAATGTTTCTGCCAATGTGACCCAGGGCAACATTCTTTCCCAACCCCCAGATATAGCGATCAGTTAGACCCTGAGCACATGGGCAAGACCCACCAGCCCGACACTTGGAAAAGAATTCTCTGTAATAACTCTTGAGCTCACTTCATCTAATGTTCCGTCACTGGCCATTGGAGATATTTGCTGCTAGCAGACACAGACCACCTTGGAGTGGCCTCCCCCCATTAAAAATTATTGCCTATTCTTGCCTAACTGATTTCACCATAATAAGCATGGTAGACCAGCTTAAACATGAGAAAAAATGCATATTAATGTCCTGATTGAAGAATATAGAAATATACCTGGCCTATTGGACTGGGGACACTCCATCAGCTTATACAACCCTTATTTCCCACATGATTCCCTCTATCCTGCAAGCTCCATGCAGGATGCTTTTCTGACAGCTTCTTAATGTTCCCACTTGCTCTCGTCTTCTGGAGCAGGAATAATGATTTGCTACTTCTCTATTTCCCTAGGGCTACGTCTAGACTGCAGGTTTCTTTCGGAAAAAGCTTTTCCGGACGAGATCGTCTGAAAAAATTTATTTCAAAAGAGAGTGTCCACGCTGCCAAAACGCATCAAAAAAGCGATCTGCTTTTTCGAAAAATAGCATCCAATGAATGTGGACACTATCTCGCAATTAAGTTCTGATTACTGTGGATGGAATGGCCACCAGGGCACCTCTGCTTTTTCCCGGAGGCTTCTTCTTCCACACAAAGGCACATGCCTTTTTCCAAAAGAGCTCTTTTGGAAAAGGCATTCTTCATCATAGAAAGAGGCTTCCCGCTATCAGAAAAACCCCTCTGTTCTTTTGATTTTTTTTCCCCAAAAGAACACGATTGCAGACTGGATGTAACTCAAGTTTTTTCGGAAAAACGGCCATTTTTCCGAAAAAACTGCCATGTAGACATACTCAATGTCTCTTTGGTGGGCAGAGGAAGTAAAGCAGCCCCTCACATTTGTGCACACACAGACACTGTGCCCATTCAGGGATCACGACTCTGTCACGCTAGCTGCTGTACAAACAGAACCAGGGCTGTGATGGACTTATATGGATTTGCAGCATCTGACTGGAATAATTTCCTTTAGAGCTGTATTGATACAATTAGAA